CCTCGTCTTCCACTTCATACAACTCTATTTCGCCTTTCCACCCGCTCGCCTTCACCAGCTCGTAGTACCAAACCCCTCGCTCCCTCAGCTGATCTTTCCCGGCCACGCAAACCAGCAGCTTGTCGCAGTTGAGCCTGGCCAATGGCGGCGCTCCTTTGGCCCCTGGGTTGAACATCGCGTTGTCCAGCCCGCCGGGAGCCGACGGGTAAACGAAGCGCCAAGTCGCCGCCGGGAGTGAATTTTGATGATTCTCTTTCGGCTCTTTTCCTATGGTGTTCGACCCCCAGAAGAACGGGTGAAGAAGATACCCGCCCTTAATTTTCACTTCGCCTGCAATTTTGGGAGTAGAAAGAGCCAGATTTACTACAACTTTTTTATATATATAAATAATGGGATGTAGTACCTTTAAATCCCACATCGACAAAGGAAAGGGAAAATTGATGATTCGTAAAAAAAAAAAACAATTTAATTTTAACTGACAATATATGATTTGGAGTGAAATTTAGTTTTTTTAAAAACTTTGAATTTGGACGTGTCCAATGTGAGACATTGCTGAGATGACTGATCTCCCGAGAAGTCACCATGATGCACCCAATAAACAAAATCGTGTGGAGCGGACAATATTTTGGTCGATAAAAGGGTTGGGATGTTACTAGTAGTATCATAATCCTTTTTTGTCGCTTTTCAACGATGATGGGTCAAATCTCAAACTTAGATGATGTTGAGTCCAAAAGGATGTGTAATGTAACACTTTGGACAAATCTACACATCGACAAATCACGAGAGAAATCCATAGTTCATAAGTGACAATCCAACCTTAACTGATAAGAGACGTTTTGTAGTGAAATGGAGTTATTTTAAAAATTCTAAAGTTAAAAGTGCTCGGTGTAAAAAATTACACAGATGGATGGCCTAATTTAATTTTAGGTGTCTCTCCTGCGAAACTGAGTGATTTAGCCTAGACTCGTGATATATATGGCCTATAATTAAGATTGAAGGGTTGAAGTACATATATAGGAGTATACCAAATATTATAGGATCCATATAAGACAAATAACAAATTGTTTGAGCAAAACGTGAATTGCTTGTTTGGTCAACCAAACCAATAATCTGGAGAAAAAAATTGTTTTCCCCTTAAAATTTAAATTTCAAAACGCATGTAAAATTATGAATTTTTCATTAAAAACTAAATTTCAACAAGCATGTATAAATTCAATCAAATAACAAACACGGAAAGTTAGAGTCACCCTACTTCCATCATAACATTATAAACATTAACATGATGTCATATGAAGACACAATCGTTTGTGCTCTCAAGAGGAGTGTGGCATGTGAAAGAAAAAGGTGATGTTAGGGTTATAAATTGGGTCTCATTGGGGAGTGAAAAGAGTGGCCAAGTGGAGGACTAACACGGATTGAGAAGTGAACTAGATCTACGATCTGATTCAATAAATCACAATCTAAATCAAAATAGAATAAGATAACAAAACATCACTAATCCAAACTATAGACCAAACCCAATCAAAGAAAAAGGTGATGTTAGGGTTATAATTTGGGTCTCATTGGGGAGTGAAAAGAGTGGCCGAGTGGACGACTAACACGGATTGAGAAGTGAACTAAATCTACGATCTGATTCAATAAATCACAATCTAAATCAAAATAGAATAAGATAACAAAACATCACTAATCCAAACTATAGACCAAACCCAATCATTTTTTATGGTCTACATCCCTACCAAATTACGATGTCACATATTATCACAATTTTGCAAATTATGGTGTACATAATAATTTTAAATTTAGAACCATGCAACAATATCCTTACCCTTGAACAACCCTTCCTCCCCTGCTCTCATGGCAAGGTTGTGCACAATATTCCCGCCGGCGCTATCCCCGCCGATGAACAACCGATCCAAATCCCCGTACTCCAATATCCACCGCTCTACCCCTTCTTCCCCTTCCCCATCTCCGGCCGCCGAGAAACTCGACGCGACCCACTGAAGGACATCCCATGAATCCTCGTAAGCAGCAGGCAGAGGATGCTCTGGCGCCAGCCTGTACTCCACCGACACGGCGATCGCCTCAGCCTCCGCGGACAATGAGTTGAGATAGCCGTGCTGCAGAGCAGAGAAGGCCGATCCCAAGCAGAACGCGCCGGCGTGGAAGTAGACCAAGACCGGCAGCTTCCTCCTCTTCCCCAATTCGTCTAATTTCGGGAGGTAGATGCGGGCGGAGATTCTGGGGTCGTCAGAGATTGTAACGTCTTTGGACGAGACGCCGGTTTTTGGGTCCGGCGAGTCGAGATTCGGCGGGGCGGTCGGGAATTCGCATAGGCGTTCCACGGTTCCGTCCGTGTATTGCTTGATTAGGCCGGGAAACTCGACGGCGACTTGCTTTGTTGCAGGGGACGCCATTGAATTTCTTTTGACTTGGGTTTTGATATCGAATTTCTTATTCAAGGTGATCGAGTTTTTGCTCGGTCGTGCGGGAAGTGAAGCATGTTATAGGGAACTTGGTTGATTACGATGTGGAAATTGATGGGTTCTTTTCTTTTTTCGTTTTTTCCATTGGCTGTTTGCGGCAGAGCAGAGGTGGCTTAAGTTGACCAAGGACAGAGGAGAAATTTTTCAATGCTATATAGTATTGGCGCTATAGGATTTTGCCTTTATGGTACAACTTAAAATTGTACATTTACGTTATGGTACAACTTCAGATTGTACCTATACTTTTTGTACAAATTCCTTTATGGTACAACTTGAACTTGTACCTTTATGTGATGGTACAACTTCAAGTTGTAAAGTTGTACCATAACATAATGATACAAATTGCTTTATGGTACAACCTAAACTTATACATTTAATGTTATGGTACAACTTTAAGTTGTACATTAAAGCACCAATACTATATAGCATAGTAGAAGTGCTCAAGGACAGAGATGTTCTACCCACCCTCCTGTTTTGCATTTGGTAATTGGACTTGTTTGATACGATGAAATCACAATCACAAGGGGGAGGAGGAAGTCTTTGAAAACCCTCTCTACAAATGGAAACGTCTCATATGTACTTTCTCACTTTTTTATATAACTTTTTTTTGGCATGAACTAGATAATAATTTTATGTGAATGAATCACTAGGCAACAAACACGAATGACATTAGTTATGTCGTGGCAAACACACCTATGATTTAAAATGATAAGTAAATAATAAATCAGTACCAAACACAATTGGTGTTCATTAAACCATGTCACATTCACATTGCGCGATACTTTTCGTTTCGTCTCTGAATCTGAACTATTAGACTCTCGAATTTGATGTCGATTATTGAGACCAGAGACCCCGCATTAATATGATATTGTCCGTCTGGGTTTCCCGCACGTATTTGTTCTTGTACACCTTCCCGAATGGCCTCGTATTAATAGAGTTATAGATGGATAACTTTCCCTTGTATTTCTAATGTGGCACTTGGACTGCACCTCAAGACATCAACATCTATCCATGTCATTTGACTTGGGTTAAGTCAAAATTAAGTTTCCAATTTTTTGGTTTAGAGTTATCATTAATAAAGGTTAGAGTCTCTTGGAATAGTTTATACTATCTTCAGAACGTGGATGTAAAGCAGTAACTAGCTGAACATCGCCACTCCACAAAATTTTGTGGCAACCCCATGGCCCTTAGTGTATACAAAAGAAAAATACAATTGATAGAGTTTGAAATTTTCCATCAAATCGATTTTTAGAATGCATCTTGGGATATACTAGATCTTTTATGATTAGGGGTGAGCATTAGGAGATTGAACCCACAAATCTATCCGCAACTAACTCATCCAATATGTTGTGAGTGGGTCCCATGAGTGGGTACAAATTGTAAAATAGGTGACCCAATATATATTGGGTCCTATCTAGTGATGGGAATGGGGCGGGGCGGGGCGGGTACCTCAATTCCCATGCCCCGCCCCACGCTACTACGGGTCGGGGCGGGTAAAACCAGCGCGGGTACGAGGCGGGGCGGGTCGACCCACTCTTACATGTTGTTCAAAAAAAATACAAGTAAATTTTACTTTTTACAATAAAACGTAGGGAAAAACACTTTAAGAATGAAAAATATTGATAATAGAATGGATAATGGAGCCTAACAAGTTGAAAGATCGACTCTAACTAGTTGAAGAAAAGTCAAAATAGGAGAAATATGTATAGATATTGTAAGAAATTGAGATAAAATGAGTCTAGAACCGGGGGGCAGGGCAGGGCAGGTCAGAAGTAGATACCCATGCCCCACCCCCACGCTACTGCGGGTCGGGTAATACCCGCCCCATCGCGGGTCAGGTCGGGTAATACCCGCGGGGCGGGTTGAAATTGTCATCACTAGTCCTATCCTATGAATGGAATGTGGTTGACTTTGGATCCAACCTACCTTTTAATCTCAAACCATCAAATATCTAACATTTGTCTTTAAATAAACTAAAATCCTAAAAAACAATTTCCCCCAATTTCAATCAAAATATCTTCTCAAATCTTTAATAATCCTTTCTTCTCAATTTTGAGTGTATATATTCTCAAAGTTATAGTTATCGATGATAATTGATATTTTTCTCCAGTGACTGAAATTCTATACCACATATTCACTTCCTTTTACGATTCTTTGTTCACTTTTCTTGTTTTTAATTTTTATACTAATTTGGATGGTTCTCAAATCTTTAATAATCCTTTCTTCTCAATTTTGAGTGTATATATTCTCAAAGTTATAGTTATCGATGATGATTGATATTTTTCTCCAGTGACTGAAATTCTATACCACATATTCACTTCCTTTTACGATTCTTTGTTCACTTTTCTTGTTTTTAATTTTTATACTAATTTGGATGGTTCATTTCAAGAGCGTTCTATGCCTAATTATAACTCGGGACTTCAACAATTAGCTAGATTTGTGTTGAAACTTCATCTTTATTTTTTATTTGATTATGATTAGATTTAGATAATGTTTATGAGGTGAATATTCTTTTGATTTGAGAACAATTATAAGTAGTAATATTTAAGCAAACTTATACATCTAATATGGATTATATACTATTTTAGTTGGATATTTTTTTCATTTTGCATTTAAAAAAATAATAAAACAAATTACGTGACATTTTGAAATGTATGTTGTAAAGTCACCGAACCTACCCAACCACTCATCATCCCCAATCACCCCAACCCACAAGTACAAGCATGGGTATGGGTATGGGTAGATATGAGTTACTTTCTCAGTCGACAGTTGCAAACCCACCCAAATTCTCATAAAACCACACTCCCCGACCCCTACTTATAACCATTCACCATTTCAGCACCCAAGAGAATTCGTATGGTGGATCGATAACATTGGCGATGATGATAGGTGAGCAAAGGCAAGCGCAATTTGAGCTTGCCAAGCCGTTCTGAAATCAAACTCAATCCAACAAACCAAACCTGCACTACAGACCAAAGATGAAATGAGGGACTATACTGACTACAGTCAACCTCCTCGGGAACTAAGAATATATCAACTTTCACAATCCAGATTCCAGGCTCTCATCTTTGGCTTTCTTTTTCGTGTCATCTCGTAATCTTGTTGAAAGACTCATACGCTTCGTGCACGAGACCTTGTTATTGTGCTACATAACGATGACGACCTCCTTGAATGACAGAATCGTCGCTCAAAGAGTTTCTTCTTACATACTCGCGTACATAACCAACACAACCCAGCAAATAGAACAAAGCAGGCTATGATCATGAAGGGGATGCATTCATTCCCCAGACAGCCCAGGGAAAGAAGGTGATTTCTACTTACTGAACAGCTCACTCTGCTGAGTACACGCCACGCCACACTAAGGCACTCTTTTTATCCATCAAACTGGAGATGATTCTGAGCCATGTCATGATGACACCAAACCCTATTTGGCAGCTCGACGCCAGCAAGAAGATCGATCCACCACTTCTGTACAACTTATCCTAGTTAGAGAGATCAAAGAAATTGAGACCAGTCGTCATCTACAGCCGCAAGTTATGTGGGTCGGGTTTCGTCAGTGCCTTCCCAAAGTAATTCCGTATGTCCGGTATAATCCGCTGGATCAAATAAGAGTGCCTGCCAGATTTACTCAACAGCAGAATTTTATGACTCAATGAGCGCCTAAAAAATTGGTATGATGTCGTTCTAATGAGTTTAAGCACATGAACAAGGGGTGATTGACCAGAGAAACAAACCTGGGCTTGGCACTCAATTTATCAAAATGCTCCAAGATGAATAAAATGCAAGTGTGCCGCAGTGAAATAGCATGGAAAGATTCTGAGAGCTCGTACATGCTTGCAACATTGTCCAGAGATATGTCCTTCAGCCAAAACATAAGCTAGTGTTGGACAACCAATTGGAATGCCAGATAGGGTGGAAGATGTAAATTAATTTATCAGTTCTTTTAGTTTTGAAACAGAGAGAAAGCGATTATCATAGCTTACCTGTGCTATTGTGTACTCGCAGAGTCGCTTTAGAGCCTCCAAGAGATACTGATCGGCCGCCCGGAGTAAATCTTGAGCAACATCTAGGGCAACATTTACGGATCCCGTGTATATGAATCTGACATAAACAAATAACAGCGAGAATGTAAGATTTTCATTTCAAATTCAGTAGAAAGCATTTTCTGAAGTTGGGAATTAGTGTTTTGGACCTCATCATCAACTCGAAAACTTCCCATCTGATGTTCGGAATTTCAATATCCCTTGCATCCTTTTCCTGCTTAAGATAAAAGTATGTAACTTGATCAGGAAAATAAAATGGCATCATTTTAAATTGCCTTATCAACTATTGTTCACCAGAGTTCCAAGCCAAGGATAGCATGCATGTCTTAGCAACTATAATCTTTAAGAAAATACGAAAATTTAAAACGATTCATCGAATAAATCATACGTATTGCGCAGATTGCAAATACGAAAGTTGATTGTATAAGTTATGCTCTCTGCCAAGATCTAAACAGAAAAATCTCCTGCCCTTCCTCGAGTCAGAATTATGGAAAAGGAGATAAGAGGAAATATATTTTAAAAAAACTAGCATCTGCACACATACCCGGTAACCCCCATCAAACATTGCACGAAATGCATCTGATGAAGCCAGTAAGCAAATTCTGTGTGCATAGAACCGTCTTCCTGCAAGGAGACCATAGAACTTCATATGTAACTTGCTGCCAGAGCTTGCAGTAAAACAATAATCTAAACATTATACACAAGTACCAATGCCTTAATAAAGAATATAGTTACAACCTTCCACTAGAAAGGTGACATCAGATAGTGTAGCGTTGTTTACGTATTTCTCCCCCAAATAAACCTGCCATAAGACAAAAATAACCATCATATTTTAACAAGGCACAAATCAAAATAACATTTTCATGTGAAAATATTTGCATTTCAAAGCATATTGTTCAAAAATACAAAAAGTACAACGTTTGGTACCATGAAAATTGCACCAATGACAACCACCACCAGATATATGTCAAAAGCTACCTGCGGGGTTGGAGAAGGTGGAGCTGCATCTACTGGAGAGAGTGTCATTGCTTTGTTGGCCAACTTGTATAGCGCAATAGCTCCATCAAGTTGTTGTTTCATGTTTGCAGAACCAAGAAGCCCCAACAATAACTCCAATCCTACGTAAAGATTCAAAACACATCAGAAGAGTAACAACTGAAACTAACCACAGAAGCACAATAGAGAAGACAATTAATTGTCCATTTGCAAGCTAAGCTTGCAAGTTGTAATACTCCTTACCTCCGTTATCTATGAAAATTACTCTCTGATCATCAGGGGCACAAAGATGAGCCAGAGCCAATGCTACACGTCGTTGAACTGCCTTCTCAGCTACTCGCATTAGATATAGCAAATGCTTCAAAACCTACATAAGAGGATTTCGTACGAAATAAGTTGAACGTAAAATCAAACTATAAATAGTTAAAAGCATAAATGGGTTAGAATAAACAACACACTCGTCCTTGAATCTTTTCTTCTAATCTCTTCAATGTCTTTGCCACACAATCTTTTGTTGCCTGAAACAAAGAATATCATGAACGTAATTAGCTATTGTGAAAGAAGTAATATAGAGGGAAAAGACCAATATCACGCTAGGAAAAGGACAGCTTGAGCTGCCATTATGAAACACAATATGCACAAACTGAAACAAAATATAACCAATAAGCCTTACTTGGACAATGAATTCTCCATCCTGAAGCTTCTGGATTCCTCCCACTCTAATAAAATCAGACACATTATCCTGTTCCATAGAAACAGAGGCTGAGATTATTCAATCGACAGATATACAATTCTGAAACCTACTAAAATTTGTTCTTTAATTACAAGGCACCAAAAGCAATTAATACCTCATTATCCGCGAGACCGTACAACGCAAATGCTGCATTATGTTGCAGCGACCCATTTTTCGAATCAAGGAGCTTCAGTAATGGTACTAAACCACCGTTGTGAGCTATACCAGCTTGGTTGTGTGGGTCCTACAAAAGCATGAAATGGTTTGTTGAATAAAGGAATTAAGCTGCAAAAATTTCACTTTAGAAAGCCCAAAGTTGAAAACAAATCCAAACTAAACAAGAACATGACATGATGCAAAAGGTCATGTTGTATCTTGAAATTAGCTCAGGATGCACACTTAGTCATAAAACAGACACTTGTCTAACTACATAACTTTGACGTCATTGGTCTGAACTTCAGTTTCAATAAAGGAAACAACTCATATTAACAAGTCAAAACCTGAGCCACTCTCCCTAACGCAAAGGCTGACATTTCCCGCAACTGTACATCAGAAGATTGGAGCATCTCGATCAATGGTCCAACTGCACCTCTTTGCACAATGTGAACCTGCAGACATTTTCAAGTTATAAAGACAACAGTAACAGCAATGAAAGAGCAAAGTAGAAACCAAAAAAAAAATGATTGTGCAACCTAGCATTAATAGCATCGATTTATCTACCATGTAAGAAAATCAATCTTGAATGGTGAAACAAGAAGTAAACTGTCTAGACCTTAACTTCGATAAAAAAAAATCAAATTGAAAACTGGCTTATAATCTACCTTGCAATCTGAATCTGTCGCAGCAAATTGGCCAAGTAACAAAGCTGCCTCTCTTTGACTCTCTGAGCAACATGAGCTGTTTCGAAATGAATAGATTATTAGATTTAGAAGTTTGGAAACCAAAACCAAAATGGAAGTAGATACATGTTGATAAGAATAGCCTAATAAAAGAAGGTTAAACAGTCCCGTTATTCCTACTACCACTCAGTACCATTTAAAGGGAAGGTTACTAAATATACAGCTCTAGACACACCTAAGCAAGCCAATGACAGGTTGCAAAGCCCCCGCAGCAAGTACTTCTTTCTTTATGTTTGGGGAGGAATGTACCAGATTCCCAATAACACCAACCTGCAGCATGGATCATTCATTCCCTTTGATAAGCAAGAAATTGGTATCCAAAACAAACAAAGTTACAGAAGCCATGTAGACTGGGCACTATAAATATCATACCGCTTCATAATGTATGGCTGCATCCTCAGACCGAAGCATCAAAATGAGAGTAGGAAGCGCGCTACATTCAACTATCTGCACTATTGGAATCACCTTTGTTAAACAAGACTCTCTTTAGCCAAAAGTTCAGCTATTCAAAAGATCCATCACCTGATTTTTGTTCTCGTCATTTTTAAATGCAAGAGTTCGCAAAGCACCGGCAGCTGCTCGTTGCACTTTTGTGTCAGCGAATTCTAGCAACTCAACAAGAGGCGGAATTCCTCCTTCCCTCCTGCAAGTCCACTCCCACTCATCATGAGGATAAACAGAACACCAAGTTCAGAGTTAATTTCAGTTGACGCCTAAAACAAGCAAACCTAACACGAGTCTTAATGTTGCTGTTCTCATGAGCGAGGTTGGTTATTGCATCAGCAGATCTTCTAACCACACTAGTCACGGCTCGAGTGGTTCCCTCGGTGTGCCTCTTCAGCAAGTCCACAAGATGAGGCAAGGCTCCATGGTCAACTATGAGCTGCTGATGCTCTGGCTGTTGCAGCTCAAAGCACATCATCAAAAATAAGATTCTAAAGTATAAGAAAGAAACAGCAGGGTTGGCAATTATGTGTATAGCATGACAAAACAAAGAACCTTCAACTATAAGCTTCCTCTTCATCAAGGTTGTATCTCCAAAGTATATATTATTCAGCAACGGCATCTATTGTCTCGGTAGAGATTCTACCTTCCCACATTTCAGCAATTCAATTAAGCATAACATTTGCCTAGCTCCAAAATCTCCCTATAGATTCGAAGTACAACTATCATTTCGTCGGGATCAAAAATCAGATTATCTATAATACAACTAACGAAACTATTCAAACTGGGAAAACATGATCTACCTAGCCGCCGCGAATTACAGGTAATTAACAAGCCCTAGCAAATCAACTCCTCCAGAGGTTCAATAGCAGATCCTAGAAAGTAATATGGAATATTGTTCATCAATTGAGCATCCGGTTGCAATATTAGCAAGCAGAACAGAATCAGTTAATCAATTCACCTTCACAGCAAGCAACCCCAGCGCGAAGGCACTGCCCTTCTCGACCTCATGCTCGAAAGGCCTCAAGTTCCCATCAACTTCAGTTGACGGCGGTGCTTGAAGATGCTTCACCAGAGCCGGAACAGCTCCTCCTTCTACAATCACGTTCACTACCTCATCTGAAAGAGAAGCAGAAACACAAAATCAACAAGCCACAAGTTAGACAAATTGATGACTCATATAAGAACATGCAGAATCGGAAACGCAAGCAGAAGGATCTCGAATCTCCAGTGCTAGAGAGTGAAGGTCGGGGAAATGAGTTCACCGTTTTTAGCAAGGTCAGCAAGGACATGAGTGGCGCGCTTGGCGGCAGCTCGATCTGCTTCTTGCCATGAGAAGGCGGAGTCGAGGATGTTGACCTGGACAGCTACCTCTGCGAGGATGGCGCGGCGAGCGTCGGAGCAGTCGACCGGCGACGGCGAGATCCCCGGCTGCTCGTCTTTGATTTCCTCCTCCAGTTTTCGCTTCTGCCCCTTGCGCTGCGGCAGGCCCTGATCTTGGCGCTTCTGCAGCTCCATCGACGTGGAGGCACAGATACACACAATTACGCAGCACAAAAGCGGAGGCGCAGCAGCCAAAAAAGGAGGAAAGGGCTAATCGGAAATCGGTATTGGTATCGTAAGGGGATTTTGAATGGATTGAGGGAGATCACGAGATGAGAGGGGTGTTTTGGTAATTTGGCATGTAAAAAAATAGGGTGAGCCATTTTTTTAAAATAATCTTTTTTACGGGTCAGAATCGGTGTGGTCGAATCGCTCCAAACAATACTAATAAGTCACCGGTCTTAGTTGCGGTTTATTCTGAAAGCGGTTTACACTTCGCGGTCAGTTATTATAAAATTGCATGATTTGAGAGTCGAAGTCAATACCTTAAAAACTAAGCAAAGGACAAAGATCATGGTCACGCAAGTCAGTTAAAGAGCAAAAACACATAAACACATCGCCCAAACTCACAAATCAATTAATTAGTACACTTTAATGCGTTATGTTACACCTTCCATTTTTACATAATACAAGACAACAAATTGGGGTGTGATATTAATAGGTCGAAGACGACAAACGGCTACGTCATCGACGAGTCCAAATCCACCTCAAGGCGTCTCTGTAGGGAGGCCAAACCCCTAAAAGGAGCTCAAGGCCTCCAAACAATAGATTTTTCATCCCTTCCTCCATTTGGACCACTCAAGCTATCTCTCTAAACTCTATATACAGTCACATACACCATTATACATATCTCGTACTAACTTGGACGTCAGAGAATAGATCACAAGGGTCGCTCCCCCCCCCCCTCCACAAAGACCATGTCTCTTGAAGAGATCGAACGAGTGAGTCCATATCGAAGCACCCAAATATTAATGTTATTCTTCGAGGGTACATCTTAGGAAACATAATGTTTTGAAAGAGAATGGTTGTGTATCTTTGTTGATTACATAATTTATTAGGTTTGTCTAGTGTTATAATTGAAGATCTACACATGTTGAATTCTAAGTATAGTTATCAAATATAAAAATGTTGAACCACGAATATACAATATAGGTATGAGAATAAGGTTGCAAATCTCCCCACATAAATATAAAGTGGGTATAATTTTAAATCCTTAAGAATGAAAATATAGATAATTTAGCGAAATCCGCCACATTGAATCCCTAAACTCCTACCACCAACTGGCTACAAACAAATACCATAGCCAAAAATTCAAAAGCTTAATTTTTTTGACAACCAAAAGCTTAATTTTCACTCATTGATAACTCCAAGTTAAAGGAGGGGATTGCAAGGGAAACTAACCTAAAAAAACCTTCTTCTTTCAAAACTCACCAAACAAATTACTAATGACTTATCAAATTCTTTATCCACAAGTTTACATACTCAGTCAAACTCAATTAAGTTATCATTTATTTGCCGCCGACGCCGTCCGCCAGTTCTTTGCATTAGCAAAACCAACTGGCACAAAGCGAGTGCCAACTTGGCACGTCGTAAAGACGTAAACCCAATTTGGCCACAAAAGTTGAGAAAAAGTAAAGAAAACTTGTTGACAACAGAATCTAAACCAAAAAGATAATCCCAACAGCAATTAGTTTAACACAATTCAGTAGACCAAACCCTCACGACCTCAGAAATCGCCCCCTTTCCCCCAACTGCCGCCGCTGACCCGGCCCGGCCACCGCCTTCTCTTTCCCGCGTCACGCCAACACCTCTTCCTTCCTAAAGTGCATGACTTCCCCAGCTGACCCATTCCATCTCACTCCGCCGTCTCCGCCATGGCAGCAGCTCTTCCGCTCCTCCTCCTTTTGCTCTCTTTCCTTCCTCCTCCTTCCCTCGCTCAGACAGGTAAAAAATCAGAAATTGAACTCTTCCCTTTCTCCCCCGAGGTCTATTTCGCTTACCCTTTTGTGGGTTTTCCTTATTTGTCAAAACCAGATACTCTAATTGATTGCGGGGCCGTCGCACCGACGACGATCAACGGCCGGGAATGGCTCCCCGACGACGGCTTCGTCACGGCTGGGACTGCCCGTACTCTCGCACTCCCCGTCCTCTCGCCACTCCTCTCCACCGTCAGATCGTTTCCCCTGGCGGGGAATCGCGGCCGCAAGTTCTGCTACGAGACGGCCGTCAATCGGGGCGGCAAGTACATGGTCCGGACCACCTACTTCTACGGATGGGTCAACGGCAGGGACGCCCCGCCGCCGGTTTTCGACCAGATTCTTGACGGGACCCATTGGAGCGTTGTCAACACGACGGGGGATTTCGCTGACGGGAGGTTGACTTTCTACGAGGGGGTTTTTGTTGCTCGAGGGAAGACCATGAGCTTGTGTCTCGGAGCGAATTCGGATACCGACTCCGACCCGTTCATTTCGGGCCTTGAATTCATCCCTTTAGGGGATTCGCTCTACAACTCCACCGATTTTGAGAATTACGCCCTTGGATTGGTCGCCAGGCACAGTTTTGGCCACAGCGAAATTGTTCGGTGAGTTTGCTCTCTTTCCCATTATAAACCCAGAAGCCAACTCGATCGCTTTGTTTCTTTCTCCTCCCGTCTCTCGATTTAACTCAGTTGGTCGATTTGGGGTTTCAATTAGATATCCAGACGACCCATATGATCGGATTTGGGAGCCATATGGAGGGAAGGATTCCAACCCTTCCAGGAACAGGAACGTGTCCATTTCGGGCATATGGAATCTTCCACCATCTAAGGTATTCGAAACAGATATCTCTGCTGCAGCAGGACGTTCAAGGCAGGTCTTGGAGCTGCCATGGCCACCAGCTCCTCTTCCATTTCCCCACCAGAACTACTCCATTGCTCTGTACTTTGCCGATGACCGTGATCCCTCACTTCAAGATCCTAGGGTGCTTGATGTGATCATAAATGGGGTGACATATTTCAGGAGCTTGAGTGTGACACAAATGGGTTCCCTTGTCTTTGCCAAAGTGTGGCCTCTCGGTGGTTCAACCAATATAACTTTGATCCCTGCTGCTGGTTCGACCACTGGTCCATTGATTAATGCAGGGGAGGTTTTCAGATTGTTGCCCCTTGGTCGAAGAACTCATACGGGAGACAGTATGTAGTTATCATCCATAGCTTGTTTTTACCTTATTCTGGATGATTGGTCTTTAAGTCTGAATGATTGCAATGATTGAAAAAAGCTCTTTTTGTGTTCATTACATTGTTGTTTCAGTAATAGCTTTGGAAGAATTGAGAAGTGGTTTCAAGAACCCGCCACAGGATTGGAGTGGGGATCCTTGCATGCCTCGTCAGTATCCTTGGACTGGAATTACTTGTTCAGAAGGCCGCAGGATTCGTGTTGTTTCACTGTGAGTTTGGGAATAACATGTTTCTCTTTGCTGTCTTGTTATTTTTTGTGTTTCTAAACGATTTGATATGCTCGATTCTCAGGAATTTGACAAGTATGGGCCTTGGTGGATCGATATCCCATAGGATCACTAGGTTGACTGCACTAACAGACATGTAAGTTTGTTAAAATAACCTCAGCAGATTGAACTGTTTATGAGATATGTTTGCTTAGTGTAATGTTTTGTTCCTGTGCAGCTGGCTTGGTAACAACAGTTTATCTGGGTCAATACCTGATCTGAGCTCATTAAGACTGCTTGAAACACTGTAAGACCACAAACGCCTCTCCCTTTTGGGGAATTCGCTGTCATTGTGATTTGAAATCTGAAGTTCGAGACTAACTTCTCTGTTTTGAACAGGCATTTGGAAGACAATAACTTGACTGGAGTGATCCCATCTTCACTTGGCAATATCGATGGTCTCCGTCAACTGTAAGACCCCATTGTCCTTTCTGCTTAGTGACATGGTTTTGCACGTGGCTTTTTGTAGTTTCATGAACCTGATGTGATGAATGATGATGATGTCTTACCCTTTCTGTTACTTGTCATCGCACATGTCCTGTAGTGTAAATAAATAGTCGTTCTTTGTTGTTGTTGGTGTGCCTTTGATGCCTTCGTCTCCTGGTAGACAAAACCAGATTCCTCATGTGAGCTTCGACATGAATGTTGGGATACATGAAAAGAAACCCTCCAAACGGATCTAGTGCCCTTTTGGAGTCTTGTACTAATGTTTTTTGCTCTCTCCTCCCTCTCTTTCTGCAAGTGTTTAGTGCAATCATACTTGATGAATATGACCTGCTGGATCTCAATGTTGTTGAATCAAATTGCACATGCCCTCTCTTTCTAGAATTGGTAAAAACAGAAGGCCCCTTGCAATAGTTGTCGGTAGTCGGTACAAAGTCGGAACGAACCTCTAGCTGTTCTCAACTCTCAGTACACCTTCAAATCTAGATGCAAGCTTATCATACTACTACTAGTACACTGATTTCGACTTTTTTTCCCCTCATCTCTCTCCCAGATTTGTACAGAACAATAATCTCACTGGTGAGGTTCCGACAAGCATCGTTGGGAAATCTGGACTAGAACTCAGGTAAGCCTTCCTTTTCTCACAAGTCATATCAAAGCTGAAAGATGAACTTACGAGATATGGTAAGCCGAGCTTTTTATGGCTAATCGTTGGTGGGGAAACTCAAAACTATCATGTCTTAAACAGGACGAATCCTGGGAACCATTTCACGTCGGGGCCATGAGCAGAAACAGGAAGCCAAAATGATTTGAGGACAACAACTATTAAGGCCTCTGGCCTCTCTACGGTACCATGGAAGCTGGATTTCCAGCTATATTGTCAAATATGCAGTTTGTACCAGTACTAGTACTACTAGATCGTTGTCGATGGTCATGATTCACAGATGTGTGAAAGAAAATGCACATGGTTCCAAAGGTTCTTGGGTGTACCTTTTGGCAGTGTCGGCCACCCTCTCAACTGTTTGTACACTTACCCTGGTTTTTGTCCATACATATACGCCGAGTCAGACTCCCAGTCAGTAAAACTCTGATTCTTTTGTTCTAATACTTTCAACCTGGTGTAAGTAAAAGACTGCTTAGACATAACAACGGTCATTCTTTGGTCTTTTGAGCTTGGACTTTGCGATTGATTCAAAGTTTATAAAATCGTGAAGAAGCTGTAATATTATAGTTCTCTTATTGGTTTGGTTTGACATTGAACTCCTTTAGCGGATGTACTGAGCTCCACGAGCTCCAATAATCCCTAACAGAAGTGATAGGAATAGGGATGGTAAACTGGTTTACCCGGCAACTGAGCTGGTAACCGTGGTTAATCCGATGTCACCTTGTATCGATAGCCAGCAGTCACTTGGTATGTTTCGGTTAATCGTTAATTGGTTAGTTAGTTACGGGTTAAACCGGTTATCTGTAGATTACCAGCTCTTCGTCTATGAATAGAATCTGTGAAATCTTCAAATCTGTTATTTTTTTTGTATAGATCTTCAAAATGTTGAGAACATTGATGCGCTGCATTAGGGAAATGCAATATTCAATAGCTCCAAAGAGGAGGATTCCCACATTTACATGTGGCCTTCCTGATTCTCAGGCAGAGCCGGGGCCAACTGTAATTTTGCATGTGCCCTTATGACACCTCACTTTCCGCTTCTCTCCCCACTCCCATCCACTGTTATTTTGTACTCACTCCCTTTGTCCTCCTAGCAAGAAAAAAAGTAACGTTACCATTTTCTAAGCACTAAGAATGAGCTGATAATTTGATATCGTTGTATAGTATCTGAGCTGATATCGTTGGATTGTATTTATGAATGATATGAATGATTCAGTTACATTCGATGACAATTTTTCTATACATCGAAACCACACTTAACAAGCGATTGATTTAAAAAAGAGCACGATCCAACAACGTCAGTCTAATAAACAACTTGCTATGGCAACATTTTGCAGTAAAATGTCAGCAAATTTACATTATATTATATTAATCCCACACTCAGATCCACATCAAACATTACTCTATAGCTTCAACCACCACAAACACATAAAATTGACAAAATAGAAACAAATTTGGATCAAACTCCCCCAAAAGAGAAGAAAAACTAAAAATTATTGGACAAAACCAAAATCCTACAAAATCCAACCATCCATACACAAATTTGAAATTTCTCTTGCTCTCTCTCTCTCTCTCTCTCTCTCTCTCTGCATTCATCTCTCTACTACTCTGTTCTTCTTAATCGGGAAGAATGGCGGCAATGCGCTGCTGTGAGCCGTGCTCTTCATCTGGCTGCAAATCGGGACATTAATCATCGGCCGAATCCGAATGCTCGCCGATCTCGTCCTCTCCAGCCCTTTCTTCGCCGCCCTCTTCACCTGATTGTTATTATTACTCCCCTCTTTGCTGCTAATTTTTTTGTTATTACAATCAGAACGACCGCTCTTGCCTTCCTTCTTCTCCTCCGCCGCCGCGACGGCGGCGTCGGCGAGCGAGCTGGAAGACGAGGAAGTGGAGGAGGAAGACGAGGAAGGCGAGAGCGACGACGCCGGCCTCTGCTTCTTCAGCCTCAGCAGCTCCTTCCACAGGACCGTGCATTTCGGCGGCCGCGGCGACGGATCGTCGTCCACGAACCAGTTCACCGCCCTCGTCGCCGTCGGGGTCGGCGGCGCGTCCTCCTTCCCCGCCCTCACCGCCCCCGCCGGATTTTCCGCGTCCTCGTGACATTTGAGGCTGATTTTGTTGAGCCGCTCCGACTGCTGCATTTGCCAGAACGGGAGGAGCTTGCCTTCGAAGAAGAGCTCGTCGGCGGTCAGCATCTTGGAGTGCCCCGCCGTCGGCCCGCTGTTGGATAGGAACTCGAATTGAAGATCCGCGGCGGCGGAGGCGGCTGTTCGAATCGGAGACGGCGATAGGGGAGGCTTCTGATTTTCCGATTCGTTGTTGGGGCGGTGGTGGTGGTTGGGGCTGATGGAGATGAAATTGTTCTCGTCGAGGAACTCGGCGGAGAATGAGATTCTGGGGCTTGATGTCGTTTGATTATCCATGGCGGTGGATCTATTCACTGCTGGTTGAACTGTTTCCAGAGAAACCATTTCAGTTTTTTGTTCTTTTCTGGGAAATAATTTGATGGAGGTGAAGGAAGGAAGAAGGGAAGGAGGGGATGGGTGTTTTTGAGGGAGTAGAGTGGGAAGAAGTGAGAAGTGGGGTTTGGAGAGGAGAGCTGGGTGCATTGGACTTTGGAAGTATATAAAGCAAATAGAGGGGGAAATTTTAAAATAAAATGAAAGAGATGAGAGACAAGAGAGACAGAGAGTGCCTTTATTGATCATAATATTATAATGAGAAAAATAAAAACCCTTTATTGAGGATTTAAAGTACATAAAAGGACTAATGACTTTCTAGTACCCATACTACCTTGGTTTTACACATAGTGACCTTATCTTTATGTTAGGGGTATGACGAAAGTATCACACTGATCATGTTATGACAAGGATAAACTTCTAAACTAGAGTTAATACTGATTGTTTGTAAGAGTCTACATTTTAAGCTTTTGTAACTTTCGAATCATCAAGAACAACTAAGCAAGGATCAGACTCCAATCACCACTGATTTCGACCAAATTTTCAACAACCGGACTGGAAACTAATACACATCCTCATGCGAAGGCTAAAATTGAAAATAATCCCAAATAAAATTTTGATCCTCAATCTTTTTCTCTCTCTTGTGTTTTTGTTCATCTCTTAAGTTGGGATGGGGGAAGTAGTAATGTTGTGATTAAGGGTGTGGGCGGTGAGATTAAAGAAAACTAAGGTGGTCTAGAGATACCCTAACAAGTGATGCTAATTAATTAAAAGTGGGGGTTTTAGAATATGGGGAACATCACATGGTGACACCTTGGGAGCTACTTAACCGGCCATCTCTCTCTCTAGTATGATTATTGATGATCTAGTTCTAGCCTTCACCTTGTAGAGTTGGCTTTTCCTACTTACTTCCACCACGGGATTCGCTCCTACATTTGAATCTAGCAATGCCAGGCTTTATTAAGGTTGGGTGGTTGGTGGGCTTTACCAAGTTACCATTCAACAACTTACCCCCTCCACTACAATGTTAACTTCGAAGCATAAGGTTATATCACACACAATAGCTTGTGTGAGTTTAGGTTGGGCGGATTAGGGGTGTCACGTTTGAATCGGTTGAGTTAACTCGCAAATTGCAATCTGTAAGGTCTATAAAGCTTTATTTATCAATAAAAAATTTCCCGTTTCATTATTAGAGTGAAATAAACTTACGTTTATAGCTTCAAAATGGGAGCGAAATTAGGATATGTTGTATATGTATAGACTTGGGGTGAGATATTGATGACTCGTTAAATACGTGATTAGCGGATTATCTGGGAAAGAGGCTGGAAAGAGGAGCAAGATTATTGAAATCATTATGAAACTCGATTGAGATCATATATTGAATAGTTTTCTATGGAGGGAGAGAAGATTATCGGGGTGAACAATTTTGAGGACCAAAGGAAAGAAATCAATTGATGAAAGGAACTAATGATTATGTTGAATTGAAGGTGATTTGATTTGGGAATTTGGTTGCATGATTTGGGTAAAGGAAACCCAAAAGGAAAGAAGGTGAATTGGAGATTGAGAGGGGGGGGGGGGGGTGAAAGAGAGATGGAAGAAGATCGGGTTTCGAAGGTGACCTGCAAAAATCTCCTCGTCATCTAACCACAAATCGTCAAGTGCTTCTAGGCTTTACCCGTGACCCAACTCATCGACCCACACACTTATCAAATTTTGGGTAAGTTGCAAGTGGGTCGGCCTAAATCCACGAGTAACTCGTCCAGGTGTCCATCCTAACTTGGAGTTCGTACAAATTCATTATACTTCGTGCTTTATTGAAGTGTTAATAATGAAATTTAGCAGGACTTAAAACAAAATCTCTTAACTCAAAACTATTATTTCGCACACATTTCGAACCAACTTAGTACAATAACTTGATAAATCACCAAATTTTCTTAAAAATTAGAAATACTCCATAACTTCATATCGATATTTTTCTCAAAACATTTTCTCTTCAGACTCATGATTTTTTTGTACAATTCTTAATAGTAATACCATGAATCGAATTTACACACAAAATAGATCCAAAGCTTTACCACCACTAGACTACACCCACATTTACTTCTCAAACACAATCGCGAAATATGTGACATAATTTCAAATAAGGAAGTAACTCTCTTTTCTTTTTCTACGGTCTTTTGACTCATGAGTCATTGTCATGAACAACCCTCTTTTCATATGATGAGCAACTATCTTATTAATGTTGGAAAATGGAACTAAATGTGATCATGAGATTCATGGCACATTGGAGACACAAGTCACATTCTCGACCATATGTAGTTTGAGAGTTAAATCATTATTAATCCATACTTAAAGCATTGATTCAGTCAAGGATAATCGCTGTCCTGTTTTATTGTATTTGAACAATCTCTGCAGTAATCTGCATGAACATGGAAAGAGCCCTAAACCATGTGGGCACATGAGAGTAAAATTTCTACCCCCATGTGACTGCTGAATATCCATTGCTCTGTTTTTTACTAACATGCCCCTCGAACCAGTCCCTTGTCCTTTCCTGGATCCAGCTTGATGTTTCTCAAATCTGAGAAAGGAACAAGGGCATTCTTGTCATTTGTATTGCTGTTCATTGAGTTCATAATACACTAGGTGGCTGGCGTGGTAGATATCAATAAAAAGCTTCTGTTAAGATTTGGGTATTATATCAGCAAATATCCATCCAGAGACCAGACAGCTAATGATGATGATCAATGGCTATATCACAAGGATTGTAAATCGAAAAAATCAGCGATAGGTGTATTTTGTACAAAATTATGGTTTAATCATTTTCTATCGCTAAAATCACTTACCGTTTTGAGTTTTGTAACTGATATTTCTAGTCGGACCGGCCGATATGGTATATATGTTATACTGTTTTTTATCCTTTCCTTTCTGTTCTAGCACATAATGAGCTCTCCCATGGTGATGGCCCTCCTTGTTGTTCCAGTGGTACATTTTGCTGTATTATTGAGGGAAGGAAGACAATAATGTTAAAGGCTGTAACAGTGTTCTGTCTCTCTCTCTTTCTCTGGTTCTATACTATCCAAAGAGAAAAGAACATGCATAAAAAAATGAACCTGGCCTGCACATTAATGTGAGAGATCATCATCATCATTTACTTACTCTGTCGAGCTCACTCGGTTGATTTTTTTTCTTTCTTTCTCTGTTCCCTTTCTCATCACTTTCTGGCGATCCAAACAGAGAGGATTATGACCCTTTTGTTCTCATTAACATTGATGGGTAGTGATGTTATGCTTAGAACAGAAATAATTGTGGGGTCATTTTGATTAATTTGTTTCCCTTGCCAAGTGTCATGCTTAATTAGGCTAAAGTAAATTACCAGACAAGATATAGATAATGATAAAGAGAGTACTGGAGAGGAACATTTTTAACACATCTCTTTCATTCTACTAGGGCCTAATCCAACTAATTCATGTACGTAAATATCCAACTAATCCAATCAATTTTAATTCAATTCATTTGATCCAAATTCAATTGGATTAGTGGATTCGTAGATCATTGACAAGTTATATTTTAGTAACTATATTTCTATATTTTACAATTTGGAACCTAAATTTATTTTTTGCACAAAAAATATAATTGGAAAATTACGTTTTGGTACCTGAAATTTTATGACATTTTAGTACCTAAACTTCGCAAAATTTATATATTGATCCAATGTTTGGATGTCATATGGATTCATGGATCAACCCACCCATCCATAAATTCACCAATCCTTTTGATCCATGGATCTACCAATCCAATCCACCAATCCAATCCAATCCATTTGTCACATCTACTATTAAGAGGTAAACATGAGAGCTCTCACTCAAAAACTATGATATCATGTTTGAAAATCAATTGGTTTCAATAACTAATGAGGTATAAAAAAAGAATTTCTATTGCTAACAGCCTAACACTATCTACCATCATGAAAAAAGGTAGAAACTTAAAGGGTCGATATGTTTTTATTGCAGCAGGCATGCAGTAAAGTGGCAGAAAATATAGCTGCTACTAACAAGCTTTTGACAGAAAAGAAAGCAAATAATTACCATAAGCTAAATAAATGGCTTTGCATAAGAAGATATAATACAATATAAGATGTAGTTTTGGATATGATATTTATAACCTTTTTTCCCCTTCTTCTTTATGGTGGTTTTTTTTTTTTTTTTTTTTTTGTATTGGAGGTCAGAGACAAAGGGACAAAGAACTTGATTGTGAAGCATGATTCAAGGCCAGAAAGAAACTACTGCCTGCATGGGCCACCAAATTTTTCTTCATATTCTAATTTTGACAGATTAAAGAAGCTAGCTAAGCTAAGAGAAGACTGAATCATGAGGGAGGAACAAGGCAGTAATAATTAGTGCAAAGTATATTTAATTAATTGATAATGCATATAATCATTAATTAATTGACCCGTAAAGAAACTCCCTTAAGAGAAGACAAGTTGGAGGCCGATATATTAATTACAATGATAATTGAGGACGACGACTGAAAGATTAATTCAATGTGGTTAGCTCTTAATTTCATGCAAATCGTAGCTGTTACATTTGGATTTGGTGAAACCCAGGCTCATTATTCCCTGACTCTCCCTTCCTTCCTGGTTACTGCCCATCATAGCTGGCTGTTAAGACTCATGAGTTATGAATTATGATAGATGGAGATAGAGAAAATGAGTATAATTTGTTCGTTCCTTTGACTCTGACTGACCAATATCAGATGCCATAATTCCAAAGTCAAATCACATGCCCAGTAAGCTCTAAAAACAAAACAAAACAAAAAAAAAATAAAAAATCCTTCGCCTCTATTCCTCAATTTTCTTCCATACCAACTTATGCCCTTCCATTTTCGTTTCCTGTTTTATGTTTTCATGTCATAAATTTGACAATCGAAACGAGAAAACTTGTTTACTTTTCAATTTTCATTCCGTTTTCTATTCGTTTACAACTATCAAAACAGAAAGTGGCAACTTCATGCTG